AAAACGACCTGAGGCCCAAACCTGGCGGGCGCAAGCCTGGAAAATAGCGGCCACGGCGCCCTCTCGAGAACCGAAAACGGACAATTCACTAATCGACGTGTCACTGTTGGGGGTTCTGTCCAGCCCCGAATGAACAGCAGGGAGCGCGCGACCATCAGCAAGCGCAGGCCCACGATCACAGAAATCATGGAACTCACTGCCCTCACCGTCGGGCAACGCACGGCCACCAGGCGGTGCACACCCGCCGGGAAGCACACAAAGAGCGGCAAGCTCACCAGCATCGTGCAGCTTACGGCCTCCACGACCAGGAGGATACGACGTAGGAAAGTCCTCGACATCGCAGTGAAGATGGGCATGCCCTTCACAAAAACCGTCCGCACGGCCACCGGCGCAACCAACAATAGGAACACCACCAGAAGAGCAGCACTGTCAAGCAGATCCACCAAGTCACCTGGGACAGCGCGAAACTCCTGGGGCACGCCATCGGACTCCTCACTCTGTTCGCGGGACTACGACATGCCGTCATCAGTCGAGTCGCTGGTAAAATGTTCAGCGACCATGGGCGGGACCTGTTGGGGAAGGGGGCTGCCGAGCGCCGTGAGGATGCGGCTGCGGATGGCGCCAGGCCGATGTGCAACCGCCCTCCGCTCGTCACGCCAGCGCTCGAACTGCTTGGCAGGCTCCAGCTCGCCCCTCTTCACCGGCCCCACCCTGATGTCCTCCGACCGCGCAGGGTGCACCAGGCCCACACGGCCCTTGGCCTGCTGCAGCACCGCCTCGAACTCCTCGGGGTGCATACGAGCGGAGCGGCCTCGCTGAACCCCAGCCGCATCCAGATCCACGCCGATGCGCAGCATGACCTCCGCCGCCTCCTGGGCGGTGCGAACGTGGGCCCGGCAGCTGCCATGGCGCACAGCGGTGTCGTTCCCCATGCTCAAAGGACGTGCCGCGCCCGCGAGTGCTGACAAGAACAGTCGAGCCCAAATGGCTACGGAGCAGGAGGAGCAGGAGGAGCAGGAGGAGCAGGAGGAGGAGGGGGAGGAGGAGGAGGGGGAGGAGGAGGAGGAGGAGGAGGAGGAGGAGGAGGAGGAGGAGGAGAAGGAGGAGGAGGAGGAGGAGGAGGAATGAGGAGGAGGAGGAGGAGGAGGAGGAGGAGGAGGAGGAGGAGAAGGAGGAGGAGGAGGAGGAGGAGGAGGAGCAGGAGGAGGAGCAGGAGAGGGATGAGGAGAAGGAGGAGGAGGAGGAGGAGGAGGAGGAGGAGGACCCACCTCCAGGCTCACGTCCACGGCCCCCGACGGCTCCGTGGAGTAAGCGAACCTCTGCTTGTCCTCGCCCGCGGGTGGGCGGGGGGCGGAGGAGAAACGGACGGGCACCTCCCTGGCGGCCGCCGCACTCCGCGGCAGCTCGCCCCCAGGGCCAAGGCAGGCCCCAGTCCCCCCTCCTCTATCGTTCAGTCGGGCATGTCCCTCTACAGGAGGAATCATCAAGAACAGTCAAAAAATAGTCTGGGGACGACGTTTCGATTATCATTGTATTATGCTTTGAACATGTTTGCTTACTCTTCCATTCGTCCTACAAGCTCCGCTTGTAGGAGGACGTGCCCGGCTCAACTGTATCGAGGAACCGGTGTTAGTACCAATTCGTCGGATGCCCAGGCTTCGCGCCAGTTGGCCCCCCCCCCCCTGGGCCCTTCTGGGCACCGCCGGGGGTGTCCTGGAGGCCAGCCCGGGTGGCACGACAGACGCTCTCCCCGACCCCCCCCCCCGTGCTGGGCGAGCACCTCGAACGGAGCGCTGCGGGGCCCCCCTCCTCCTTCTTCACGCGTGCCCGCCCTCCCTCCCCGCCCTCCCTCCCGCCTCCCGCTCTCCCGCTGCCTCCCCCCCCCCTCCTGGATCGACGACGGGTCGCTGGCGGGAGCTCCTGGGGCCTCCCTGGGTCCCTCACCGCTCTCCCTCTGCCCCCCGCCCCGCTGCCTCCCCCCCCCCCCTCCTGGATCGACGACGGATCGCTGGCGGGAGCTCCTGGGGCCTCCCTGGGGCCCTCGGAGGCCCGCCCTGCTGGCAGCTCCGCGGATGTCATCCTGGCGGCGCCTTGCCGTGCTCGCTCGAAGCGTTGGGGGCACGGGTCGTCGGTCCCCGGTCCTCCCGAGAAAACATGCTGCAGTGCACCGCTTGCGCCGAGGAGGAGAGGGAGGCAGAGGAGAAAGAGGAGCAGGAGACGGATGGGGAGGAGGAGGAGGAAGCGGGAGGAAAAGGAGGCGGAGGATGGAAGACGGGGCGAAGGGAGGAAGGGAGAAGGAGCGGGGGGACGAGGGAGGAGGGGAACGGGGGGAAGAGAGGAGGGGGAGGGTTGGGGAAGACGCTGAGAGGTAGGAAGCAGACGAGGAGGAGGAGAAAAGGACGAGCAACAGAAGGCAAAAGGCAAAAGGCAAAGGCAAAGGCGCTCAGGGGATGGGATCTGCCCTGGCCACAGACCTTGGCAGACCTCAACTTCTCTATCCCTGGAGGATATGGGTGTGAGGCCCGGGCACGTTGCCTTCGGCCCGCCCGGGGCGCCTCCTCTGACTCCTCGAGTGCCCCCACCCCCACTCCCCCCACAGCACCCGAGAGCCGGGTCCTGCTGGACCTGCCCCTGGCCCAGGAGGCCCTCAGGATTTCCCAGGGAGGCCCTCGCGGCCTGCAGGCCCTTCGCGAGGCCCAGAGGGCTCCAGGGGCTCCAAAATGGAGCGACCAGTGAGGGGGCACCCTATGGGGCCCAGGGGGCACCCCTCGCACTCGCCATCGCTCGGACGTCCATTCCCTGTTTCTTTTTTTTGGGTTTCGTGCGTGTTTTTTTCGCCCAATGGTCAAGGATGCTCCTCGATGGTCCTCGCCGAAGGAAAAATGCACACGTCCGAGCGATGCCAAGCGCAGACCCCGACGGCACGAGGGCCGGCTCGCGAGGGCCTCGGACGCGCGGAGCTCCACGCTGAACAGGCCCTCGCACGGCTCCCGCCCGACCTCCGCGCCCTCGGCGCCACCGCCGCCCAACCTCTGCTGGGCGCCCCGCACCTCGCCCACCGACACCGCCGCCTCGCGGTCGAGGGGCGTCGTCGTCGTCGTCGTCGTCGTCGTCGTCGTCGAGCGAACGGGGTCGAGGATGCGGGGCGATGGTTCGACGTGTTTCGCTCCTTTTTGGCCTCCGGGGCGCCCTCGCGGCAACGATCGGTCACCCTCGTCGTTGTCGTCGCCTGCGTCGTCGTGGTCGGGGTCGTCGTCGTTGTCGTCGGCATCGTCGGCGTCGTCGGCACGCTGTGGTCGTCGTCGTCGGGGTCTCCGGAATCATCGTCGCCGTCGCCGTCGTCGTCGCCGCCGCCGCCGTCGTGGAGACCCTCGAGGGTCGAGGGCAAAAACGGCACGGGGCTCCGGGCCGCTCCTGGGCCCGGGCCCGTCCACGAACCGCACCCCGCAGAAAGAGCTGCCCCGGGGGAGGGGGATCAAAGCACGATGCCTGCTCGATCCCACCAGGAACTGCGGGCTTCCTACCCTTGGAGGCTCAGAAATGGGCACCAACATCAACACCGAGGGTTGCCTCCACCAGGGGAAGGTGATCCTAGATTTTGGTGTTGGTGGTAATCTTTCGGCCACCCTGTAAGCGCGAATATTACCACCATCACCGAGATCGGGATCATCTGCCCTCGGTGGGGCACACCGCCGATACTGGTGTTGGTGTCAACCTCGAGGCCTCCGAGACCCATCGTGCGCATTTGTTTGACCCTCCTGGGGCCCGCAGGTGCCCCATGGACGCCGAAAGCTGCGAAAACTCCTGGCGCGAAACGTGCTCGAGTCGCTGCCTGCATCTTGGGCATCACCTACCTGCGCGCCTCGCGCCCCCGCGACGTGCGGTCAGCTGCGCGACCTCGAGCGGCCACCCTGGAGGAGGGCAGCTCTCGGGCCCGCGCCGCGATGCGCGAGGCGCGATCACCTTCGCGCCGCTGAGGATGAGCTAGGTCTACGCACTACCATCGCGCTGTTAGAATGAAGGGGCCCTGGGACACACAAATAAATACACACAAATAACAGGATTCCCCATATTTTCCCATATTTTCTGGGTTCTTGTCTTCCCCCCCCCCTTCCCATATTTTCCCATACTTTCTGGGAAATCGACGATTCATTGTGTCTGTGTGTTTCTTTCCCTGCGGATGGAAGGAAGAGCACGATGCACATGCACCGATCCTCGCCAGGCTCGTCCGCGGGCCAGGATCGGTGCCTGCGCCGTCGTGGCGTGGCCGGGGAGGCACAGACACCGATCCTGGGCCCGGGCTGGGCCTGGCCAGGGTCGGTGCATGTGCATACAGTCGAGGCGTTGACATGAACCCTAAATGAGGAACGAAGCCCCTTTTTCCCACAAGTTCAACCTCGATTTCCCATGGAAACCCTCAAGAAAACCCGAGGCAAACTTCGAAACAATCAAGGAACACCGAGCCCCTCCCCAACGAAAAGGGTTCCTTCTTCAGCGCCCCGACTGTAGTTCTCTTCGTCCGAGCTTTCACCCCCTTGCCTGGTGGAGCAGCCTCGGGGCCGCCATGGCCGCCTCCCCGCCCGAAGGCGACGGGCCGAACGTGCTGGTGACGCCGTGCAGGCCTATCACCTCCACGGCCTCCGGGCAGTAGGCCTCGATCCCCTCGCAGAACTGGGCGATGGAGTCGAGGGCGAAATACCTGCCGGGAGAGGGCGAAGTCTGAGGCACGGGGGGGGCCGAGGGGCCGACCAGGCGGCCTGCTTGCAGCGCCCTCATGTGGGGCGAGCCAGCGGGCGCTTGGAATCCCCCTCGCTCGCCGCCGCGCCGGACCTTGCGGCGGGGCCCCTGCCAAGGCCCTCGCTGGTCGTGGGTCGGCCCAGAGACCCGCTCGGCGCCGGGCGTCGGGGCCGAGCGGGCCCCCCTTGCGGACCGACGCTTGCCATGCCGACGTTCTGCCCTCGCCCTCGGCCTCGTGAGGCTTGTTTCGGGCCCGGGGCCGTCGAGAAGCGAGCGAGGAGCTGGGAAGTGGCGCAGACTTCTGCCGGCTCCGCATGCGAGAAGTCACGACATTGGAGGTCTTGGTACCGCATCGTGTCCTGCATCATGAAGCGGATGACGGCGAGCATCTTCTTCATCTTGCCTTGGCGATACGTGTCTGGGTTGCTCTCGTGAATGGAGAACCATCCCTTCCCGACGTTCTCGAAGTTTTTGAGTATGATCTTCTGCAGACTGACGACCCACGACTCCTTCACCTTGTTCGACATCTGCGTGATGGTGGATTTCTCCAATTGCTTGAACTGATCTAGCCTCAACGCCTTCTGGAACTTCGTCGCATAGACGCACTGGGCTAACAGCCCAAGACATTCCTCGGCTACGGCGCACAGCGTGCTAACGACCTCTGGCTTGATGTACAAAGATGCGAAACAGAAAGCTGCGAACTTCTGGGTGAAATTGTACTCGGGCACCGGCCACAACGCGTACCAGGGCACGGGCTTGCCGAATGGGTTCTCATCTTCGTCCTCTAGCTCATCTACCGAAACGTTGCTGAACATGCTCCAGCCGCCCCCAGCACTCGAAGGCTGCTGGCCGTTCAGCATTACGGCGTCTTTAGCGCTGTCCTGATCCTGCTCCCCCGACACTGCTGGTTGGTGCAAGAAGATGATTTTGTTCATCGTCCGGGCGAAATCAAGGTTGGCCTCCCGGACAAGGTCGTTGGCCGCCGGCTCGATGGCAGCAACCCGCAGTTGCGTGGAGTTCTTGGCCAAGTCGAGGATTCTCGAAACCTGATCGACGTCCAGGCATTGGATGTCGTCGATGGGCATGTTGTCGATGAAGAAGTTGAGCCGCGCACGGGACTGAGCACGCCTGGCGAGCAGGCACGGGGCAGGGGGGCCCGTCCTTGTAAGCTGGGTGGACGGGGAGGAGGAGGCGAACAGGAGAACTCGTGCATTGCATTCATGCTAGAAGAGGGCGCAAGCCGAAGGGACTCCGCGAAGCACCACGGGGGACTCAACCACATCGCGAATCAAAAGCAGAGAGCTCGCAGAATCGCAGTCACGAACACACCGCGACGCCGTGAACACCTCATTGTCATCGACTCCCATCTCTGAGCGGGATTTCTTAAGCCGCATCGCTCCACGAGGGCCCTGGCTGCGTCTGCCCCGACCCCTCCGCATGTGCCCGGAGGCCCCCCTCGGAAGATCTCGTGAGACCCGTTGAGGCCTCCGGAGGCCTCCGCGGGCCAACAAGGAGGCCCCAGAGCACCCATATACTTGAAGGGGTCCTAGGACACACAAATAAATAGACACAAACAAAAGGACCCCCATATTTCCCCATATTTTCAAGGTTTTTGTTTTCCACCCACTTCCCATATCTTCGCATATGTTCCAGGGAATCGACGATTACTTGTGTCTGTGTGTTTTTTCCCTCCTGAATACTCTGATCCTGCGTCTTCGAGCCTCGATTGCCGGGGCTGGATGCCCCTGGGCTGCGCTCATCTCTGGCGGCCACGCAAGAGAGGGGGGGGGGGGGGGCGGGGGCGATGGGGGGGTGGCCTTCTGAGAGGCCTGGGGGCCTCTCAGGAGGGCTCAGGGGCTTTTGAAGAAGCTCCCCGCAGCGCTGGAGGGCTTCTAAGAAGCCCCCCTGCCCTCGCCAAGGGTCTGGTCTGCCCTCCTCGCCCAACCCCCTCGCAATTGGAACCGGCCGCGGCAGAGGAGAGGCCCCCGGCCGCCCGGGCGGCGGGCCTCCGCCTGCAGGAGGCGGGCGGGGCGCAGGGGGCTGGAGGCGGCGATGGGCTCGGCATCGCTCGGAGGTGTGCGTTTGGTTCGGCAGCGGCTCCTCCTCCTCCTCCCTCCCCTCCCCTCCTCCTCCTCCCCCTCCTCCTCCTCCTCCTCCTCCTCCTCCTCCTCCTCCTCCTCCTCCCCGGCATCCAAGGGTCTCGCGGCTCTGGGGGCCCCCACGGATCCCCAAGGGGGTCTCCGTGCCGCGTGGTCCCCCGGAAGGCTTCCGAGGGGGCGGAGGCCCTATACAGTTGCAGGTAACTCTTTGGCTTCCCGAGGCCTCAGCCCTCGATCCCTCGATCCCCAAACCTCGAGCCTCGACCCTCCATCCCTCAACTCGGCGGCGCGCCCAGGGGGAAAGTGAGACGGGGCGGGCCTTCGCAGAGGGCTCGGAAGGCCTCGAGCCTTCCCCGAACGCCGCCGACAGCCTCCAGAAGGCGCGAGGGCTTCCGCCTTCTGAGAAGGCCTTCTCCCTCTGACTTCCCCCCCGAGGGCGCCGCCGATCAACCTCCACGGAGCGGAGGAGGTAGGGCGAGGGCATTGGATAGGGAACCATTCGATGAGGAACCCAGAAGTCTGGAAGCCGGTTGAGCTCTGACCGTGGATCGGCCATGGATATCACCGCCGCCCTCGTCAGGCAAGGAATCCTTCCGGGTCTGCCGCCTCCTGAACAAGATCCGCTGTTGGGCATTGTACCCATTCTTTCAGTACCCATTTCGTGCGTGCAGATCACCCAACGCCCCCACCGTGTATCCATCCCACCGGCAGTCGTGGCGGATCTCTGCGTGGCCACGTCGGCGCAGGACTGCCGAGGTCTGGGGTGCCGGTGCTGTGTTCGGTGCTTCACGCGGGGAAAATCATCCTCTTGATTTATCTTGAGATATATATACATACATAAATCTTGATGTTTCTTGAATCTTGAACTTATCATCAATTTATTGGGGGGCCCAAGAGTTACTGGAGCATCTATCTTTTCCTTGGCTTCTCTCTTTCACTATTGGAGGAAGGTTGAACCACTTCCGGTTCGGTTCTTTCTGATGTGGGTTCGATGCTCTGGGAGATCACCCTCCGCTCGATCGGCCCAGGCCTGAGGGACTCGAACGCGAACTTGACGCGGTCCGCGAAGAGCTCCGGGTCCTCGGCCGCCGAGCGGTCCGTCTTCCACTTTTTCTTCCCCGCCCGCCTCCTCATCGTCCTCCTGCTGCTGCTTCCTCCCGCCCTCCAGGACGAGGCCTCGCTCTCTTTCTCGTTGTCCTCCTCCTCCTCCTCCTCCTCCTCCTCCTCCTCCTGCTCCTCCTCCAACTCCTCCTCCTCCCCCTCCTCCTCCTCCTCCCCCATCCTCCTCCTTTCCCCTTCTCCCTCCTCCTCCTTCTCTACTCCTCCCCTCCTCCTAATCCTCATTCCTCCTCCTCCTCCTCCTCCTCTCCTCCTCCTCCCCCTCCTCATCCCCTCCTACTCCCATCACCCTCCTCCTCCTCCTCCTCCTCCTCCCCTCCTCCTCCTCCTCCTCCTCCTCCGCTTCTCTCGCTCTCCTGCCCTCCCCCTTGCCATCCGCCCTCTCTGCCGCGGTCCTCGCCCAGGAACAGGCACTGCAGCCGGGTGAGCACCGCCGGCGCCCTGTCCCGGTCCCGGGCCACCTGGTCCCCGGCTGGCTCGACCCACTGCACCTGCGCGCGGGCGCGCGAGCACGAGCGCTCGATGCCACCCTGTTCCCTTCAGTCTTTGGCGGCGCTCTTTGGCGGCGCGCACAAGGGGGTGGAGGGGGGGGCTCCTTAGAAGGAGGCTGCTTCTTAGAAGGCGCCGGCCGCACACCTATAGATAAGGCCCGCGCCTTCTGAGAAGCAGGGGTGCTTCTAAGAAGCCCTCTCCCCTCCCCCCCACCCCCCTCTGCGCGTGGCTGAGTTCTGGAAGGATTCATCTGTTCAGCCCTGGCGTCAGTCGACCAAAATCAACTCGTCGGGCCCGTTTCGGGTCCTGGGGCCATCCCGCAAGCATCGAGGATGGAGAGCTGCCCCCGGGGAAGCGGTGGGGAACTCTGGAGCCGCGGATCGGGGATCTCCTGACCCGGCTCAATCCATACCCGGGTCAGTCAGGCATCGCAGAATCCTGCAAGATTCTGCACCCAAACCCGGGTCAATGCGAACGATCCTGCAGGATCCTGCACCCAGGCCCGGGTCGATGCGACCCTGGCCCTGCAGGATCCTGCAAGATCCGCCGCTCTGGCTGACCCCCGTTTGCACCGACGACCCCCGCCCCAGGGCTCCCGAGGATCAAGAACTCACATCGCCGGATCTGAGGCCACCTTCCGGGCGTGTGACAGCTGGCGGCGGCAGGTCCTCTCCTGGCCCTGGGCCGACGGCGGCCCTGCTCGGGCTCTTCGGGCTCTTCGGGCTCTTCGGGCTCTTCGGGCTCTTCGAGGACGAGGAGGAGGAGGAGGAGGAGGAGGAGGAGGAGAAGGAGTGAGGAGGAGGAGAAGGAGGAGGAGGAGGAGGGGGAGGAGGAGGAGGAGGAGGGGGAGGAGGAGGAGTTGGAGGAGGAGCAGGAGGAGGAGGAGGAGGAGGAGGAGGAGGAGGAGGAGGAGGAGGCCCCGGGCAAAGGAGTCCCAATAGGTCCAAGCCCCGGGGGGCCCACGCCACGAGGGCACCACGGCCTCGGAGGCGCGGGGGATCGCCGGCAGCCTTCGGGGAGGCGGGGGCGGCGGCGGACGCGGGGGGGGCTGGGAGAGGCCCCGCGTCGGGCCGCCCTCGCGCGCAGAGTCCCCCTGCAGCGCCGACCACATCGCGCCCCCGATGGCGGAGACATCGGCCGCACTGGGCGCGAAGTCATGCAGGGCGACGAAAAAGGGGGGGAAGAGAGGAGCCGCTTTTCGGGCCCCAAGGGGCCCCTTCTGGGGCCTTGCAGGGCACCTCTGGGGGCACAGGCGAAAGGAGGGCCATTGTGAAGCGGGACGCTAAAACAAAATTGATACCAACCCCGCACGCACACGAGCACACACAAACACCAAACAACAACACACACGCACAAAAAAAAAACACCCACAAAAACACACAAAAAAAAAAAAAAAAAAGGCTCAGGACGGGGGACAGACCGAAAGTGAGGAAACCTACCGTGGGGGGAAAAAGAGAAGGTGGGGGAAAACGGACGGCCGCACGCAAGCCAATGCTCGCGAAACGAAAAAGGCCAAGGCCCTGAATCGAGGGGCGTCACAGGGTGGTCTGAGGGGAGGCGCATGCCACAGACGGAGATGTCGCGCACGAAGGACACAGGAAAACTATACCCCCGGACATCCCAAAACAGAAACAAGGCAGGAACCTCTTGTCCTCGGTGAGGCCCACCGCAACGCACTCCTGCCACACCCCGCCGCCGTCCTCGGGGGCAGGCGCCCGGCTCCGATCGAGGCGGGCCCGGAGAGACGCCGTGCACCAGGGCCCCACCGACGCCGAGGCTGCTTGGCGAAGCGGGCCCCCGAAGCTTCGTCCCGCTCTCCTCCAGGTAAGACGAAGTCAGGGCCAAGTCAGGCCTGTCCCTCTGCAGGGGGAAAATTCAAAAATAGTCTAAAAATTAGTCCGGGGGCGATTTTTGTTCGTATGTTTGAATATTTCTGCAGATGTTTCGACGAATCTGTTTTATGTTTCGTGCAAAATCGGCCTGTAGGCGGACATGCCCGACCTAAAACCAGGGCGATGACAACATCGGGAGAGGATACATCTGGCTCGAGAATGCGTCGGGCGCCGCGGCCTTCCCGGAGCGTCTCGGCTCGCTCTGGAAGCGCTCTGGCACGCTCTGGGAAGGGCTTATCCTTGTGGATGCCTTGCCAATGGAGACTCTAACAATCCTGTCATATGTGTTTACAATGTGTAAAGCATGCTCTAAAAATGCTTCAAACATGTTGTTGCATATCTAAAACATGTTTGAAACATGTTTAGACATCTGGAGATTATTTGGCAGCACGCTTCCTCTCCATTGATCTTCCTCCACAAGCTTATCCTCGTCCTGTAGCCCCGTCCGTCTCCACCCGGTCGCGTTGTCGTCCCGATGTGCTGCTTGGCGGCCCAGGGGTCCGGACACGGCCTCCCGAGGCCGCACGCGAAGCATATGCAGCGATGGGCCTGTTTCCCAACACCACCACCACCATAAGTTGGAGGGGGAGGTGGTCCTCCTCCTCCTCCTCCTCCTCCTCCTCCACCTCCTCCTCCGTCAGTCACCACCCCGTTTCGGGGCCCCCGAGGTCACGCGGCCCAGAAAGGCCGCGATCGTGCTGGGAGGAAGGGGGTTCGGAAGATGCAGGGTACGGCTGTGTAAGACGCCCACTCGGCGTACGCGAGTCTGCGGATGATCTTGTCCCCTGTCGTGTCCAAAGCCCGGAGAGCGCGGCGACAGAATCTTTCGCAAGTTGCAAGTTCCCTCGAGAGAGCTCTGGAAGCTCTGAGATCTTGTGGAAAACTTGACACGCAGTGGGAAACAGTAGGAAAACGCCTCCGGGACACGCTGCAACTTCACAGGAGGGCTGCGAGCTCTGTCGGAGGCTGGAAGGCGCTCTGGGGCTCCTCCTGCGCCCTCCAGGAGCCATCCGGGAATTGGTGCCCCAACCTTCTCCTCCCAACCCGATCGCTCTCTCCCCGAAGGATGGCGGAGCACGTGGCGGCTTCCGGCAACCCTGAGCCCCCAAAGGCTTGGCATCTCTCGGGCAATCGCCTTCTGCTCCCGCCGGTGGCATGGGGCCCCGGGTTCGCTCCCGCCCGCTTTGGCGCCGGCCTCCCGCCGCCCCTCCGCCGAGGGCGAGAGGCCGCCCCGATCGATCCTCGAGAGCAAAGGCCCTCTTTGGCACGCCTCGATCGATCCTCGAGAGGCCGCCTCGATCGATCCTCGAGAGGCCGCCTCGATCGATCCTCGAGAGGCCGCCTCGATCGATCCTCGAGAGCATAGGCCCTCGTGCGCAGCCCAGCTCCCGTCTGGGAGCGGCTGCGTCGGCCACGCGGTGCGGGCGGAGGCCCGCGGCGCCCGCGCACGCCGCTCGCTGGAGGCGACGCCGCCGCCGCCGCCGCCGCCGCCGCCGCCGACGACGACGACGACCGCTGCGAGCTGTCGACGCTGGCGGTGCTCGCAGTGGCGAGAGCGGGGAGCACGTGGGCCCCAGATCTGGTCGAGGGCGACGCTCTCTCCCCTCTGGCGGACATCATGCCCGACTTCTGGCGTCGCCGACGTGCTTGCGGCGGCTTCCTGGCGTGTCCCCCCTGCCGCTGTCACCTGGAAGGCTCGCCGCGCAGGGGGGGCTTGACGCACCTCGGGCACTGTGATGTCTCTGCAACGTTCGGCTCCTTCCCCTCCTCCTCCTCCTCCTGCTCCTCCTCCTGCTCCTCCTCCTGCTCCTCCTCCAACTCCTCCTCCTCCTCCTCCTCCTCCTCCTCCTCCTCCTCCTCCTCCTCCTCCTCCTCCTCCTCCTCCCCATCCCCCTCCTCCCTTCCGTCTCCTCCTCCTCCTCGACCCCAGACCTCTAGCGCCGTGGGCTCGGTAATCATGTAGAACTTCCACGGGGCCAGTATCTCGTCCCGGATCGTTTCCAGACGTCGGCGTGGAAACGGCCCCCAGAGGCCGAAACTGGGAAGCAAAATCCGCTGGCGTGTTTCAAGACGTTTTAAACATGGGTCGTCGACCGTCGTCCTCGTCCTCGTCGTCCTCCTTCTCTTCCTCCTGCTCCTCTGATGTCGTCGTCCTCGCCATCGTCGTGGTTGTCCTCATCGTCGCCCTCGTCAAACCAAAAAATATTCAACAATGGCCCCTGGACCCCTCCCGGGATCCATCCTGGCAAGTGCTTCGAGCCGCGCGCAGCCGTGGCAACGATCATCTCCAGAAGTAACGCCGAGACGAAAGTAACGCCGCAACGAAGACGTCGCCTTCGTCCCCGCCACCCTCGTTGTCGCCGCCGTCGCCGCCGTCGCCGTCATCCCCGTCCCCGTCCCCGTCGTCGCCCCCCTCCTGCCGCCCTTGAGGTCGCCGCCGTCGCTGCTCCCGCCACCACCGTCGCCGTCGTCGCCCCTGTTTCTGCCCTCCGAGGGGGCGCGCTCCTCGCTGAGGCGCAGACCGCAGGCGCGCACCGGCAGGAACCCCGCCTCCGTCCACCCCTGCTCGAGCCACTGCTCGGGGGTGCGGATGTCGTACTCGGTGTTGTCGAAGTCATCGAGCTGCAGCCA